CAAAAAAGTGTATTAATCGGAAACTTTACTTTTGCACAGAAGAGGACCGCAGATCAGCACTGGAGTATTGTTTTACAGTATTATATTGAGGCCAATGTTGCTACCTTACACTTGTCAATGCTTACAAATTCCACGTGCTTTCCACCTGTTTGAGTAGCACTCATCAACTTTGGTATCCCGACAAGTTCAAGGATGTCAGCCAATTTAGCACCACCCCAGACAGCTGAACCAATCAGAAAAGCAAAGGAGATAAAATCAAAATGTGGAGGATAACTTTAACAGAAATTTTCACATGTATATAAGCCAGATTCAACTAGAATTCAAGTTTTATTCATCCTGCTGCACAATCAGCTTTCCAATGCACATTAAATCATCCTATTAATGATTCAAATTCTACAGATGCCAGTAAAGATATTGCATTCTCATGCAATTATCAAGTTCATTGAACAAGTAAATTGAAAATGCACAACATTGTATGGTGTGTGGTCTTTTGGGGATTAAGTGGGTGATTGCTGGGTCGGTTATGGATGAAATATGGGCTTGAGATGGATTATGTATTAAAAGAAACATTGTAAATCTTATCCCGTTGACTGTTTTTTGGATTATTTGGGGAAAAAAAAAATTCTCGTGCGATGTTCAGAATAATATGTCTATTTGAAAGATGGATGAATTCATTATTTTTTTTCATTTTATTAGGTCATAACATCATTAATAATAAAAATTTTCGAAATGTCATAAATGCACTAACATTATTGTAAATTTTTATACACAGGTGGTATCCCCTATTGATATCTTGCGAATAATAATATACTACATACTTTTATTTCAAAAAAAAAAATGCACAACGGGTCCGGGATAGAAAAATAAACCATTTCCTATAGCAGCAACGTCCCAGCCAACTCCTCTAACTTTTCTTACATCACTCATAGCTGTTCTTCGATTACCAGCACACTGTACAAGAGACACATGCCTCGTAAATAGTTTAACATGATAATACAACTCTTTCCTCTGCAAGGAGTCACAGAATCAAGGAAAAATGCATATAAAAATTAGCATACCTGTAAAGTGGCAGTGACGTCATACTTGGGGAGCATCCTGTTATTCAATAGCAATGTGAATTCCTTGATCAAGCAAACATATATAATCGCACTAAAATGCATATGATAACACCAGTTCTCTTCAAAAGTCTTGATTGTCTGTGTATGTTCATCAACTAACTCGATTGACAGTCAAACATATCAATCAATATAGAGTTACTTAAATCTAGTAGAATGGAAATTTGAGTAAGGAGAATTGCCAATGGATATCAGATAGACAACAAGAAGACTAAAGCAGTGTATGATATAAGTGCAAAATCCTTCTCATCCTTGATGAACTTAATCATAATGCTCCTACCTATCACTCACCAAATATCTCTCATAAAAAGCTTCTTAGGATTCCCAATTAGTCCCCCGAGAGAAACATGGTAGCTGCTTTGCCAAACAGGCTCATAGTTAGTGAAAATTACTTGAAAAATATATGAATACTTTCAATATAGAAAAGAAGGATGAAACAAAAAAACCAGCCTACAACCTTTCTATATCATCCACTATTGGTATTGGTCCATGATTTCTCTTGTAGAACAAATCCACAGGTGTAATATAAGAAGAAACCAAAGCCGAACGCAGTGGCTCGGCATTGAAGGGCTCCTGCAGCAAAGAAGCATTGGGAAGATAATAGACATAATCTACTAATATTGCAAATTTGAATTTAAAGCTAGAACTTGAAGGAAAAACAACTAGTCAATTAGTAAGTATAGCCCACACCACAAGAAGTAATACAGCTCCAAGCTACTGATATATATATATATATATTATACATATTAGATGCGTTACGTAAATATTAGATATACATATATATTTCTGGGTACATCATAATAATCAAGAAAATGACATAGAACAAGACCCCAAGATTGGTTCCGATTCAAATTTACTGAAAAGCAAACAAAGCTAGATATACCCACATGAGAAAGAGACTGAAACAGCCTGCCCCGTTAGGCAAATTCCACAATCATCAAAACCCAATCCAGAAAAAAAAAAAAAGGATGGAGATTACACATTCATACACATATATGTGCATGTATATATCGAAGAATGAAAGAGTGAGAATAGTGAAAACTCGCCTTTGAGTTGATCTTAAGACATGGATGACGAGGTGGTTCCTGCGAATAATCGGACGGTCCTCGTATTCCCGGCATTCTCCGCACGCTCACGCAATTCTACAGACAAGCAGTACCACCACAAACGCTACAATTACAAACAAGGCCAAAAGACAGAAGGCCACACCTGCGACTCTGCTGAACGGAGAAAGCAGAGGCGAAGATTAACGGGAGGACCCAGGCTGTGACCGTTGGAGCTGACAGACGATTAATAACCCTCCGATTAAATTGCATCCACGTGTACGGCGCTGGTCCCACCTCGAATCTTTAGTGGCCACGAAGGGTTTCGGTTAGGTTGCCGACGGTGGTTGATTGCCTTCTTGCGATGGATGTCGTTTTATGTTTTGGGCAAGTACGAACGGTGTCGTTTTTTCTTACGGGAATCCAAAGAGAATCTAATCTGGAGCTTTCAACCACTAAATAAATGGGCAAACCCAATTTGAGTTTTTGGTTTTTAAAAATTATATTTTTATTATTCATGCAATTTATAAAACAATGAAAAGAATTATAAAATTATTTAAGAACCCATTTTTCATTATTAAAAAATATTTGTTATTTCATAAATAAAATAAATTATAAATTTTTAAATAAATTCTAAAAATAAAATTTATTTCTCCCACTGCTGAAATATACAGCCTAAAAACCGAAAAGGCAAGCAAGTGATATTAATTTAAACAGCTCATACATTCAAAAGTCAACTTGTTGACTCTGACTGAGAACAGATTCATACAGAAATACCAGGGTGGGAACTACCGGTCTGATCTTATCTCTTCTTTTCACAAGCCGAAAGAAAATGAAACCTCAGACATTTTTCTCTGTATTTCTCTTCTTGGGTTTCGCCTCTGCAGGTACAACAACCAATATATATATATATATATATATATGTATGTATAAATCTATACACAGACAGACACATGCCACATTTATATAAATGTGTATATGCATGTATGAATCATGTACTTGTTTGCTTTCTGATATTTTCGTTTCTGGGTCTTGAACAGGTATTCTGCAAAATCCAGATTTCGAATCTCCACCGACAAATTTACCAGAAAACTCCACAGACCCATTTTTCTTGCTCAACGAGAACACTACTCTTCCCGGATGGACATTTCAAGGCACAGTTCAGTATGTAAAAGCTTCTAAATCCACACCATTACCCGGCAATGGCCACGCCGTCCAGCTGGGTCAAGACGGCAAGATCAACCAGACTTTCATTGCCAATGGCGATAACCTGAACTACATTCTCACCTTCACACTCACCTATGGCGGTCAGGACTGCTTGGTTGATGCTGGGTTGGTGGTTTCAGCACCAGACAGCCATGGGGTCTTCGCCTTTAAGCAGAATTATGGCAAGGAGAAATGGCAGAGCTTTGCTCATTACTTGGGAATTTGGGGAGAAGACCAACCAATTAACATAGTGTTTGAAAGTCAAGCTGTTGAATCAGATGTTAACTCTACATGTTGGCCAATTGTTGACTCTCTGCTAATCAAAACCTTTGGAACTTTGGTTCAAGGCCATGGTAAGTATATTTCAGCCATGAAATTTTTATTTTTATGTTTAGTTGAATCTTTGTTATTTATATTGTAAGAAAAAATGTTAATTTCTAAGATTATCCAAGTAACATACATTCAAAAAATTTAAGTAGCTCAAGTCTTAATTCCTCTAAGAAACTCATATAGGAGGAAATAAATTTGACACATAAAACTAATACTCTAATCATATGTAAGATATGTAAATGACTGTCGAGTTTCATATAAGAATCTCTCAGTGCAAGAAACTTGAATCATATTCTTTTGAAAATTAGTAGTTTAAGTGTAAAAAATTATTAAATTAGTAATGTTTAAGCTTCTAGAATTTTCTTTTCGAGATAATGGGCGTAGGGAGTTATTATCATGTTATTTGAGGAGATTTCAATCTTTGAAACGGGTATGCATACAGCAAGAATTTGTCTACCCTTCAACCCATGAAGCTGTAAATGTTGTTTTGAACACCAGATAACTTGCTGGCTAATGGTGGATTTGAAGATGGCCCTCATTTCTTGAGCAACTCCTCTGATGGAATTCTACTTGAGCCAGCACCAAGTCCTATTCAATCTCCATTAAGCCAATTCTCTATAATCGGAACGGTTAAATATATTGACTCGAAGCACTTCTCTGTCCCACAGGGCAATGCTGCCATAGAGATTGTGTCTGTTTCTTCCGGAATACAAACAGCGACGAAGGTGATTGAGGGTTCTACTTATAGCTTGACATTTACACTTGGTGATGCAAATGATGGATGCAAGGGAGATTTCATCATTGGAGTTCAAGCAGGATCAGTAGCTCAGAATATTACACTGCATAGTGCTGGGACTGGCTCAAGCAAGAAGTTTAGCTTGACATTCAAAGCTGATTCAGGGGCAACTCCAATCACTTTTCTTAGCCTTACCAGTCATCAGAACAGAGATGGCATATTCTGTGGTCCTGTTGTTGATGATGTTGTTTTGAGTGATTCTTCGGGATCAAAATCATCAGAAGTTAAGTGGATATTTCTCATTTTTTTGTTGTTAGCAATTTTGTGATCGAGTGTTCGTTGAGTGTGGTTTAGCTGCATATTTGTTCATGGTACCTGGTTGATTGTCAGAGTTTCTTGTTCCGAGAAGAAGAGAAAATTGTGAAAACATCAGCATTTTGTTCATTTCCGATTATATTGAGTGGAAGAACAATATATCAATCTAATAGCATTTTAATAAATTTTTGTGTAATGCATAAATCATGTTCAAAGAAGAATAGGTCAATCACATTGTACATGACATAGACCCTCATGTCTTTCATTTTTCTTTGTTATAAATTCATGGTGTATAAATTGATGGTCTATACTGAATATCAACACCGATTTCTAGGGAAAAAAATATGTAAAAAAGCAGCTTGAGCAAACATCAAAAACAGAATCCAAAGGCATAAAACTCAGCATTAAAAGCTTTGTAGTAGGAGGGTTTGATCAGCAAGCTGAGTTCCTCTAGAATCTACAATTTCAATCATTTTTTTTGTCTTATGGAGACTACAAGTGTTTTCAGTTTGGTGTTTAATTAGATAGTTGGATAATGAATGATATATCTAAGTGATAAGCACAGTAAGTACAAAAGAACAAATGTGAATCACCATGACTGTTTCTCCACTTCCGACTATGTTGAGCGCAACAGAGAAGTTTATCTGGGCAGCATAAATACATTTGTGTATTTGGTAGACCATGTTTTTAGAACAATGCAATAATGTGATTATACAAGACAAAACCTTCCTGTCCTAAATTTCGTGTAGCCCGCTGTTTGTAAATTTACAATGTATATATGAATGTTCTGTAGTATCAATACCTAATATCTAGTATCTAGCGGAACAAAATATGTAAGAAGGCAATCCGAGCAAACCTCAACAGAATTCACCTGACCCAGAATCTGCATTGGAGAAGTGTCTGATGGCATAGGTGCAGTTGATCTGAAACTGTATAATCCTTCGATTTTCTTTTTTCGTTTTATTCCAAGTAAAATGCTAATATTTCTTTTCAGCACTCATCTGCATTGCATGTTTGAGAAGATTTCTGTAGTCCAGACTTCTTGACCATTCATCAATCTCACGAGCACGGAGAACAGGCAAGGGGTGTGAAAGCTGTCTCATTTGAGCATTTCTGAACAGGATGAAGAGTCAATTAGAAAACTAAAAGGAGGTCAAACAGAAGCTATGTTTGGATCTCTGCTTACGATATGGCATACCTAATATACCAACCCATCCCACTTGAAGAAGCTTTATCATAAGCTCGAGCCTGCTCCAGAAATGCATCTACATTTAGTTGATCGGCAATAGACGAACAGCCCCCAGCTAATTTCATCAAAACAGAGATGACCACCTCTTGTGGGAGCATCAAAACAAAAACAACGAAGGTAAATTAGCTGAAGTACAGTGTTGGATACACAAATCTCAAATTTTAATTCTATAAAATAGTAAATGAAGTATAATAAAAAATGGTTAAGGACTTGAATAAAAATAACATTCTGTTTCCAAGTTTAATTCTAGTGCTTCTGTTATTCCTCCCTTTATAAGTGAAAATACAAATCTACTATTTTAGAAATGAAGTAAAAACTTTGATTTCTTATTTCATTATTTTCTTATATTTTTTTACTAGTTGTAGGTAGTGCGTGCATAAAGGATACTTCGATAATAAAAGACAGAATGATGAATTAAAAAGCATTAGGTTAAGCAGGTTAAAAAAAAAGAATTTATTAGGTTAAGGCTCTATTTACTGCATGTTATTATTTTGTCTAACATATTCCACTCTTTCTTTTCAAGAAAAATAATAATTTTGTTTGAATTAATAATATTAAAGATTAAAGAAGGGAATGATACAAAGATGAAGAAAGGGAATGCTATAATCAAGATAGCCTCTCAGTTCCTCCAAAGAATGGATAAAGAAAAGTCTCTAAAAGAATTATGGTTCTTAGCCTAATGCGTGAGGCTGAAAAAGTCACTTTCTTCTGTAGAAATTGATGGGGCACAAACCAGTCTTTCGAACCACACCACAACCCAGCAAAAATGGCACCTCTCATAACCTTCTCAACTCCTTTCTTACTACAACACCCTGAAGATGAGAACTCAAGGAATACTGAAAAGTCTGGACAAACCCAGATAATCCTATAAGTATGAAAAAGCTTCATCCGAGACCTCGTGATGCAGGAATGTCCTCATTCTGACCCACAACCCAGATAATTCTATATACTTTTCCCTATATTTCCTCGTTCTGACCTTATATCCTATGGTCTATTTCTATTCTTCTATTTTTTCACCCTATTCTGCTAACTTCTATATTATCCAAGTTAGTTCCGGACGCTACTCGTCCTACATCACTAACATTTGATTTTTGCAATACCTTAGGATCTTGGGCAACAAGAAGTGCTGCTCGATCACATGTTAGCTCTGCTGCTCGAAGCCAACGGTATAACTGTTCTTCCAAGCTCTGAGCAATCAACCCACCAAGTCCTGCAGACAACATTGGTATTTCGAAGTGTTAATCTGACAGTAATACTTAGAAGTGTATCATATCTAACCACCAGAATCCTAGCTAGTAGCCATTTGTGTGTCTATTAACTATACAAGAAGTTCCTCAGACATTATTAGGACTTTTAGGTTATAGAAATACCGAGAACTTCTAAACTATCATTAACAAAGATGGGATTGGACTAAGAAGTTTATACTGGAGACCAAGAATCTCCTTAACTAATAAGTGCATTTTTTTGGTGGATAAATGCCTTTCTCAAAACATTTAGCCACATTACAGGCAGGAGATATTATTTACAATTTTACATGTAAGATAAACTCCATGGTCTTGGCAGATCCTAAAGCTGTGGCTTCTGAGTTCACTTTCTCCCTATCCACTCGTCAATAAGCACGGAATGGTTCCCTACTAGATGGAATGTATAACCTAACAATAACTAGGTTTCAACAGAAGAACTCCAATACACCTACCAGGTACAGTGTAAGCTCCAATGGTAAGAATATTTGCAAATGTGAGCCATACTCCATGATCACATTTCAGATGACCCAACTCATGTGCCAAAACAGCCTATTAGAAAATTGAAACTTCAAGTCAATAGACTATAAACCTATTAGGAAAAATACACGCACAAAAACCAGTATAATGTCTTTCTTCTTAAGTTTTTCTTCCTGGAGTACAACATAACATATATTTATTCTTGCTCTAGCCAAGAGTCAAACCTCCAACTTCCACTTTTGTGGAGATGGAGAAGTACCACCTGACCAAAGGTGAGGTGTATGTCTTTGTAAGTTACACCAAAGTGATAAGTGCTGCCAAACTTGGTTTCAAGCTGCATTTAAAGATGCTAAAGGCAGGGATTGAAAATGAATATTCAATATATGTCAGTTATAAAGAAAGAAAAGAAACCTGCAGTTCCTTTCGCGTCAGAAGCTCAATGAGACTAGTATGAACAACTATAAATGGTTTTTTACCACTTATTGCTAGTGTATACGCATTTGGAACGGGACTTTGACGAACATATAAATCAGGAGCATCAATGTTCAAGATTTCTGCCGCCTCAATCAATAAATGATGAAGATCAGAAAGCTGGGAACAGCAAGACAAAAAGATGGACTAACATGTGAGTTCAAAATAGTTAAATCATAATCCCAACATATAAACAATGTCAAATTTTAATGCATAGATAACCAAAAGATGTTATATATATTTAGCATACTTGAAACTACATCCTGGCTTGGTAAGAAATAAGACCTGACTCCTATCAAGCATTTAATCAGATATAATAAGTCAATGCTAAATGCTTTTACGTAGATCCAATAATATCTATATAGGATGTGTAAGTAAAAGCTTTCAAGTACATTCGAGTGATAAAAATATTGAAAACATATAAACATTTGCGCCCTGTTTAGTTGTAGAAAATTGTTTTTGAATTTTATTTTCTAAATTCATTTGTCTTTGTAACCAAAACATGTATAGTTAAAAAAGAAAACAAGATTTAATAGATGATGGTGAGATGTAGCGAAATTAAATTTTTTTTCTTTCAAACTCATGTCTTTGTTTAACTATCATATTTGTTTTCATTTTCAACTACACATATTCCTGTGTATAAACATATAAAAGAATTTGGAAAACAAATAACTCAAGACAGTTTTCTGTAACTAAAGAGGGACCTAACTTGTTCTATTTTCCAAGCACCTTAAATTTATCTACTTTCACCACTTGAACCCAGGTCCATTTGGAATTATCATCATGAGAATGACTTCATAAGTTTGTTGTTTGAGGACAAAGCCCAGAAAGGGAAAATGTGGGGAAAAAAAACTGCTTCAGAGGAAAGAGTCCAAGTATGCCAGACTTCTTTAAAGCTATGCTAATGCTCCCATTTCCCTTCACGCACATTACCGCAATTAACATCTGGACTAAGGAGGAGCTAATCTCAGTTGCAGACTAGTAGTTTCAGAAAGAAGTGGATAAACAGATAACAGAACATAAATATATAACACAGGAAGAAAGGCAATGAATCTTTTTTCCTTTTCAATGGAGTGTCTACTAACCTGGTTTTCCGAAACTAGAACAGAGCTACCAATATTTTCTAGTAGCATGATCTGCTCTGTTATTGATCCTGCAACATCAAAGGTTACCCTTAAATACAGTGCTAAAGAACATAGAATAACTAGGCCAACAGAATAAAATCCTGCTCAAAAAATAAAAAATAATAATATACTTTTTAACTACTGGCAAGAAGTAACTACCTGCCTTAGTCCATATCTTTATTACTTTTTCAATTACCTAGTAAAGCTTTGCCAAGTTCGTTCAAGCCTGGAATCGCTCTCAAGATCAACGTGTTCTGCACCAAAAATATAGAAGTAACCAGATTTGGTCCTTTTATTTCCAATAAGAAAAATATCAACCGTCAAATTTTCCCATCTTGTTAGAGGGTATTTGACACTTTGCTTTTTTTTAATTTAAAAAGAGTTAATTCTAACTCTCTAAGAACTTAAGATATTTTTTCTTAGATGAGGTGGGAAATAAGACCCAATAACTCTACAATAAGAGCATTATATCATTTGAATTTAGATGACAAGAACTTAAAGATATCCTTAATACATTTGAGCATATTAACTGAGTAAATCTTACATCTTATTTTAAAGGTTAGTCAATGTAAACTTTAAAATAAAATCTCTATTTGGTACGAGAAACTGTTTTCTAACACATTTATTCACAAAAACACGCATGATGGCATTTGTTTATAGAATAATAATAAACAAGAAGAAAAAGTTAGAACAAATGAACACAATGTTTTGTTCTTTCCAAATCTCATTTTCATTTTCACTATCATTAACAATCATATGATGCTGCCACTCAAATAGACACCACCATGAATGTATTACTGAACAAACATGGTTTGAATAAGAAAGTGAACAATAAAAAATAATTTTGTTCTTTTCAAATCTCATCTGCATTTTCACTATCATTTAACCATCATTAGATGATGTTGAAACAATATTTTAAAACTTCAGAACATTTGTTTTATGTTATAATTAGATCAAAAAATTGACGAACTCGATTATCCCTGAATTACTCCAAAAAACCCCAGAAAGAACTTTACTAAAACATTTCCGGTAATCCAAATTTCTTATAGTTTTGGTTGTAGAAAACTTATTTGTAACATTGACTATAAGTTCGGAACTAAATATCACTTGGGCTTAAATTAAATAATACCATATAAAATATAACTTCAACTAAACTACTGAACAGCTTAACAGTTCAGCAGTCATATAGCTTTATGTTAAAGAAATTAGAGCTTATAAGCTCCTCTGCAAAACTCTATTACCGTCGTGATCTTACTCTCAAATATGGCCCCTACACAGACTTCGTATGAAAAAAAAGTTTAACTTAATTTCATTAGACCTGCTTATCGAGAGGATGCCGGAAATCATCGGCATCGAGGTCGCGAAACACGAGAGGAGAGGCAGCTTTGCAAACTGCAGCTATAAGTCTCTGATTCTTCTCCTTCATTGCGGTTAATCCGAGATAGCATGGAGAATAATAAGAGAACCTCAATCTCTTCGAAGCACAGTCCGCAAAGGCAAAGCGATGGCTCGACGAACCGTTTTGGGGAAAGCAGAGAGAAGAGAGAGGCGCAGACATAGAGGCCGCCATTGATTGAATCTGAGATGGAGGAATTACAGTGGCGCCTTTTAAGTGGTGCGTACTGCACATCGCGTAAACCAAAGATATTTTCATTTTTGTCATACGAAAGTTTTTCGCGTCCACAGCAGTACACATGGTAACCGTTTGGCGCCACTTCGTTTTCCGTTGACTATCTGCTCCATTTGCAGAAACGGCGATACGGCAGCGTTTTGTTAAGAAGTCGCTCTTGTTGCTAATTACTATTATTCCTTTTCTTTAATACACAAAATTATTAGTCTTATAAAAGATGATTTGGCTATTCTTTAAAACATAAATCATCGAATTAGTTCCTAAAATTTATTTTATTACAGTTTTATGTTTAATATTTTTTATNNTATATATATATATATATTATATATTTTTAAAAAATAAATATTATTTTAAATATTTTCTAAATTTAAATAATTAAAAATAAAAATTTAGAAACATAATTAATTTTATGTAAATATAAGCTTTTTAAATTAATTTAAAATTTAAAATAAATTATCTCTAGAACTTTCCAAAAAATAAACAAAAACTAAAATTTAAAAATAAATATGTATAATATTAAAAATCAAATTGTAACAAAAAAAAAATTATTAAAATATTCTATAATAAATAATAAACTTCAGAATTAAGATATAGAGTTCTTTAAAATTGAGATAAAATATTTTCGATTTTAAATTTGTCGAGATATCAAAAGACGATAGTAAAATTCCACAGTATCTTAAATCTGCATATTGCCCAAACCCACATAACTCTCTCCCAAAAAAACATCAACAAGACACTACACTTGAGATTTGAACAAAACAAGACATACATCAAGGCCTTCACATTCTCATAGAAGTTTTTTTGCATTACACAAACTTTCATTTCTCTTTTTCAAATCTTCCCTGTCTGTCTATATATGCTACTATATAAAATACGATAGAACAGCTTACAAACTATCTTCACAATACACACATTTACTTTTTATTCAGCTGGCTCGTGCCACTTCCTACCCTTTTTTTTTAACCAAGAAGAGTCACTGGCCAGACTTCGACCCCCAAGCTTGCGCTATATGGAAAATCAGCAAAATGCAGGCAACTGGCATTCGCCACAAAGCCTACTACATTTGCATTATACAAAGACTTTGTTTATGGAGAGCCAGCTTGCTCACACAGGTCTAGCAGATCCAAAGTCTGCAAAACCACCATAGATAAAATTTGATTTTTGTTAGGATAGAGTTTCAGGAACCTACAGAATACACAAGCACAGTGAGATAACAAAATAATAACTTATTTTCTTGGTAATTTAAAAATTCACTTGTTAGCTTAACTTTGTGAAGTAGCAACTTAATAATTCATAGGATTTAAGGACGCGGTGTATTCCGAAGCACTATCCCTATTCATATGAAATATTAGATGAAACATTACATGGAAATGGAAGGTTTAAAGTACCTCTGGAACTGAAAGCTCAAGTCGAAACTTTGGACCATCATAATGATGCAAAACTGGTCTGAAAGCATCCTCTTCCAATGCCTTGCAAAGTTTTCTAACACGGATCCTTACCTATTATTACAGGGAAAATGAATAAAGTGAAATGAGGGTTTAAATCATCTGCGTAATTGAGAAAGATTTGCTCTTTGAATTGTCCTTTCAAGTTTTACCTGAGCAGGAAACCTGGATTCGCCTTTGCACTTTTTATCTTCCCAAGCAGTTGGGTCGATGTTTGAACCCCCAAAACTTGCTGCCTGTACAAATTCAATATAGAGGCACAAGTGTTCAATGAATAGTATTTAGCAAAGTCAAAAGTTAGAATACTTCTTAACTTTTCTTTTTTGCTAATCAGATCCTACCCCTCAATTTCAATAAAAAGAAGCTTTCCATTTGTTCAGTAAATTTAACTGTTTCCAAAGATTTAATATATTGTATTATCTTATTTTACCAATAGAAGCTCCATAGACATCCTTGACATGCTACCAGGTTAGCCAACAAATTTTTTCATACCCAGTCCTCAAAAACATAAATGTTAAAGAATTATAAAATTAGATAAATACCAATCAATTGTCGAAACATATTTCTACAATTCTAAACATAGATCAACTAAAAAATGTACGGATGAGAGACACAGGAAGAGAACTCCTAATCAGGTAGAATATTTTGAAGAGCACCAAGCATTACAGGGAACTTTAAATAAATACTAAACAGAATGAAGCATGACAACAAACCTCAAAAATACCATGCAACTGGTGAGTAGTGTAGTTGTAGAGAAACAAGGGTAATCCAGGCGTTATTGCACGAACAGAGTCCCTATATCTTGGAGGTAAACCTGGAAAATAAAATCAAGAATTCAAGAATTATCTGCCAAGTCAACAAGATGATTAGCATCTGTAAAAAAATGAATTTCCTAAATCAACTACGAATATGCATGAAATCTTATGATAGCAATAAATGTAACTATGTTAGAGATTGCATCCCAGCCTTTTGACCAGGGTCCCTTAAATTATGTGGAGAGATCCACAAAAAAGAAAAATAAAAGGTGTCAGAAATTACCAAATAGCTGACGCTTCAAATCTTCCTGCATTGTGTCATTGTTACATACGAAGATATATCCACCAAGAACTTCATTCCTGGGGAGGGTCTCTGTTGCAGGCAAAGTTTTGAATCTTTTGTCAACTGCAGCATTTCCATTTTCATTGCTGTTATTGTTATTATTGTTGTTGTTATTGCTGCTGTTGTTGTTGATCTCTTTGTTGATAAGATTATTGCCTGCGTACTTGCTACCATTCAGGTTTCCCATATTATTATTGTTATTCTTCTGGTACACCACATTCATGTTGTACATACCACTGCGAAGGGAACTTTTGCTTACACTTTCAGATACTTTTGAGTCCAAATTCAACATGTTAAAGTTAAGAGTATCAAATTTATTGTCTTCCTGGAACGCAGATTTATCCCTTGGCCTTATCTCTGCTTGGCTCTTTGAAAAATCAAGGTTATTCATGCGCTCACTCTTTGACCTGGTCTGCTCAGCCAATTTAGAGGCAACCATTAACCACTTGTGATCCTCTGAAACTTTTGATTGTCCTCGAAGCTCGTCGCCCAACTGCCAAAAGCTGTGCATGTTGTCCATCTTGGAAACCCTATGAACAGTTGATAAAATAAGTCACAACAACTAAACAGTGCAAGGTCCATACTACAAATATCAAATTTCATGGAAACCACCAGATGAGAGTATAATCAATTGATAATCATCAAAAAGGGAATCATGCTATTCAACTTGACTAAATATGTAAATTAGGTTGACCAGACGATACACTACTGATCAATGATATGCACTTTAAAAGGAAACATGACATCAGAAAGACTGGAAAGAAAGTCCAATTATGTATTTCATTTCCAACTACATAGTAGTTAAGTCTGAAAGAATGTATCTAACATTGCCTGCTCAAGATATAAGCATGTAGAGGATTTAATTATTGAAAACTAACGAACACAAAATCCTCAGTCGTTTTAGTAGACAAAACCCAGAGTTTTGAAATTTTCTATTGATATGTACAATAAGTCATACCCAACAAATGCAAATTCCAGCAGAAATAGCAACAGATTCCCTTTCTCAAGCTTAATTCTTCACTTAAAAAAGAGTTAAATTAAGCTTAGTATTCAATATCCACCTTTACAACCTCTCAATCATCAATTTCAACTCTTAGAATAAACCATATCACCACCCATTTTGAACCATTAAAAAACATAAATCTAGTTTCACGCCAAAAGTTAAAACAAAAAAGAGTCAATCTGACCTAAAATATCATCTACTTCCAGATCCTTAGCTGATAGAACATACCAGCTTACCATGTCCTCATGAAACAACAAGTCAACAAAGCAGACAATGAAATATTAACACCAAGTCAACTCAATCTGACCTAAAATATCATCTATATCCACATCCTTAGCAGATACATCCATACCATCCTGCCATTTCCTCATGAACCAACAAGTCAACAAAGCGGACAATGAAATATTAACACCAAGTCAACTCAATCTGACCTGAAATATCTTCTACATCCACATTCTTAGTTGATACAACATACAATCCCACCGTTTCCTCATGAAACAACAAGTCAACAAAGCAGAAAATGAAATATTAACACCAACTCACCTCAATCTGACCTAAAACATCATCTAAATCCACATTCTTAGCTGATACAACATACAAACCCAACATTTCCTCATGAAACAACAAGTCAACAAAGTGGAAAATGAAATATTAACACCAACTCACCTCAATCTGACCTAAAACATCATCTAAATCCACATTCTTAGCTGATACAACATACAATCCCACCATTTTCTCATGAAACAAGTCAACAAAGCGGAAAATGAACTATTAACACCAACTCACCTCAATCTGACCTAAAACATCATCTAAATCCACATTCTTAGCTGATACAACATACAATCCCACCATTTCCTCATGAAACAACAAGTCAACAAAGGGACAGTGCGTTATTAACACCAAGTCAACTCAATCTAACCAATTGACGGCAAAAACAACTCCAAATCTGGATTAATAATCAACCAGCCAAAACTATGAAACTCGAAGAACCTTACCGTACAAGACAAATCAAAACTCAAAACTCCACAATTTCGTACCAAGGACCTACCAAAATTCACTACGCCGGAAACTTCAAAAAAAAAACACACGCATATATGCACAGACTGGAAAGACTTGGCAGAACTGAAACAACTATATTTAGCCTTGGTTAAAAAAAATACAGCTATTATATAAGATTCTGCGTGTGGATTTCTACCAGATAAGAAAGAACCCTAGATCTGGGGATCAAGAAGAGCCAGCAGGCGAGAGAGAGAGAGAGAGAGAGAGAGAGAGAGAGAGTACCTCGTTTATCTCCTTTTCTAGCCGTGAAGTAAAACCCGCAAGACACGACACAGAAGAGAGGAGAAGAGAGAGGGAGAGAGACAGAGAATCAGGGACAGATGGGATTTTAAATAGTACATTTTTGTGATTTGAGATGACGAAAATACCCTCCATTTGTTTCGTTAATTTCGTTATTTACCGCTACGAAAGTTTGGAAGGAATTAAAAGAAGTGAAAGTGCGGTTCGCGGCATTATTATATTTGCCAGCTTCCACGCGCTTTCATGGGATGCCACCTTTTGGTAACGTAAAAAGTAAATTATAAAAAAAAAATTATTTCATTTTAAAATTTTGAATATAAACTTTATTAGTTATATTTTCATATTTATTATATGTAGTTGTATAAGTAAAGTGACAATTACTTGTTTTTTGAAAAATAGGTTATTTTTCAAATAATTTTTAAATATAAAACTAAATTTATTTTGATAATAAAAATAATAATTTTCTCATAAATTTTTAATTTTAAAAATATTTTTAAATTTATACTTAAGTAATGATAGTTCTTTATTTGAATTGTTTCAAATAAAATAAAAATAATAATTTTAGTATATTATGGTTAAGAAAATAATTAAGTGTATAGATATCTATAAATTAACCATTAATTTTTAACGTGATATTAAGAAATATATATGCAATAAAAGATA